TTCACATGGGCAACCCTTGCCCAGGGCTCTGCAGGCTCAATGACTTGTCTTTGTGTCAGTGTCCTTTGTAGAAGGCATTTAAACTCTGTCGCTGTAGCTACGTAGGGGGGTGCACGATGGTTGGTCCATTCCCTGTCTGCACTTGCAGCTGAAATGGCAGAAGGAAGGACAAGAAATGGCATCAGCCACCCTTGTTCACATGTGGAACGTCTGACCAAAGCTCTGCCAGCCTCATTGACATAACTTAGTGTCCTCCATAGAAGGAAGTGACTCTCTGGCTATGTGGATGGTGACAGGAGTTCACCATTTTCTAGTCCATTCCTTGTCGGGTTTGCAGCTGTTAAAGGCAGGAAAAGAATGAAGACATCAGGCACCCTGACTCACCATGGCCAGGCTTGCCCATAACTCTGCCAGAGTGAATGACTTATCTTTGGTCTTTGTCCTTGTGGAAGCATTTAATCTCTGGCAGTGTGGTGAGGAGAAGAGTGCGCCATTCTCTGGTCCTCTCTTGGTCTGGGCCTGCAATTGTAAAAGGCAGGACGGCAAACTAAGCAGCAGCAACAGTCACTCACATGGGTAACCCCTGCTCAGGGCTCTGCAGGTCTCGGTGACTTAACTTTGTTTCAACGTCCTCCATCGAAGGTAGTGACTCTCTGACTGTGTGGATGAGGACAGGAGTGCATCATGGTTGGTCCCTTCTATGTCAGGGCTTTCACCTGAAATGGCAGGACAAGAAATGGCATCAGCCACCCTTGTTCACATGGGCAACCTTTGCCCAGGGCTCTGCGGGCTCGATGACTTGTCTTTGTGTCAATGTCCTTTGTAGAAGGCACTTAAACACACTTTTTATAGCTGCACAGAGGGGTTCACAATGGTTTTTCCATTTCCTGTCTGGACTTGCACCTGAAATGGCCAGAAATGGCATCAGCCACCCTTGTTCACATGGGGAACCCCCGCCCAGGGTTCTGCCAGACTCCATCACTTAACTTTGTGTCAGTGTCCTTGTGGAAGGCAGCAAGTCTCTCTGCTCGAGAGGATGAGGACCGGAGCACGCCAAGGTCTGATCCTGTCCCGTTGCGTGCCTGTGGCTGCAGAAGAGAAGCGAACTGCAGAGCAACCGCCACTGCTCGCCACGCGCACCCCCTGCGCAGGGCCCTGCCACACGCCAAGACTTAACTTTGTGTCCGTGCAGCAGGAGGCGAGTGTCTGGCTGTGTGGCCGGGGTCAGGAGTGCGCCCTCTTCCGGTCCCGTCCTTGTGTGAGCTTCTGGCTCTGGAAGTGAAAGGAGGAGCAGCCGCCATCTGCCGCCCATGGGGCAGCCGCTGCCTCCCTGCCCGGGCCCAGCAGCCCGGCCCTCCCCTCCCTGCCTTCCTCCTGCCCTCTCACCTCAGCCCTGGCTCACCCACCTGCTCTCCTCCAGGCGGGTCTGGCCCTTGTCACCCCGCAGCCCTTTACGCGCCCGTCCTGGAACCTGGGCTACCAACCCCTGTGGAACGGGATGGCCACCGCCAACATTCCGTCACCTAGGATACAGTCACCACCAACATTCTATCAGCTATCATCGCCCCTTTCAGTTTCAAGACTGCCCCTGCAGTTTTGTTTAAATGAAGATGGTATCATTAGGTGATCTGTTATGTTTTCTTCCATATCACATACCACACCCCATTGCATTTTATTTAATCAGCCTTTTATTAAGCCCAATAATTTATAAACATATAATTTTATCTTTTCATTAAGTTCTTTGGTGTCTAAAAAATATATTTTCTTTAATTGTACTGTTGCCATACAGGTGATCTAAGAATTCATTTAGTCCATTTAGCTACAAACCGATGGACATATTATTATGTTGCTTCTGAGTCTCTAAATAATCTTTGCTATTAAATCTCCATGTGAAATGCAGATAAGCAGCTAAGTGTATCTTTTCATTCTTTAGGAACAACTTGCATGTGCTTAACTTTCTGAACTTTCTCTTTTACGTTTTTGTTCACTGTGCTGATACATAGAATCACAGAATCATTGAATGGTTTGGGTTGGAAGGGACGCTGAAGATGACCTAGTTCCAATCCTCCTTCTATGGGTAGGGACACCTTTCCATAGACTTTTCCCTGTACCAAAACTTTTCCTGGTTGCTTAAAGCGCTGTCCATTCTGGCCCTGAACACTGCCAGGGATGGGGCAGCCACAGCTTCTCTGGGCAACTGTGCCTCACTACTCACACAGGAAAGAATTTCTTCTTAATATCTAATCTAAATCTGCCCTCTTTCAGTTTACAGCATCCTCCCTTGTCCTGTCACTACATGCCCTTGTAAAACTTCCCTCTTTAGATTTCTCATAGCCCCCCTTTATAAGTATCCTTGGAGCCTTCTCTTGTCCAGGCTGAATAAGCCCAGTTCTCTCAGCCTGATTTCAAAGGGGAGGTTATCCAGCCCTCTGGCCATCTTCATGACCCTCCTCTGGACTTGCTCCGAAAGATCCATGTCCTTTTTATATTGGGAGCCCCAGAGCTGCACACAGTACTCCAGGTAGGGTTTCACTATAGTGGAGTAGAGGGGGAGAATCATTCTCTCGACCTGCTGTTTATGCTTCTTTTTGATGCAGCAGAAGTAAAGCCTGTTCTTCTTACTCCATATAGCACAAATATCCATTTGGGCACTCCCATTAAAAATGCAAGCATCCACCTAAAGAATTCAGGTTATTTTTCCAAAAGGAAGTGCAACAGTATTTCAGTGTTACTGTAGAAAAGGTAGAAAAACTGTAGGACAGATAGAAAAAAATAGCTGTACTGCTAGTGACAGTAGCACCTTCCTAGAATTGCATCTTTTTCTTCTCTTTCCAGCAATCATAGACTGTAACTTTATAATATATCTACAGAATGACTCTGTGGGAGAAGATAAAATCTAGAGAGAAGATAGAAATCATAAATTTTCATGAATATACACTCTAGCCATACATCTACTAATCTGCATGTGAAAACATCCAAATATAAACCTATGATTTTGTTTTTAATTTATTCAGTAATTCGTGGTTTTGCTAGATTCTAGACTGATGAGAGCTCTGGTTATTTGCACCTACATTCATTAGTATTTTCTTTTGTGCCATATAAGAAGCAGATAAACAAATTGTCAGAAATAATCTATACAATGTTTTTGCGTCCACATTTTCCTTTCTTTTTCCTGCTGATTCCAGTGCCCCTGTGGAAGCCTGAGCTGTAGTGCTCAAAACATAGTACTGGAGCTATTTTAACTTTGATAATATAAGCACATATCTGAAGTCAGTTATTGTGGTTGGGCTTTTTTAAATAAATCAGGTATTTGTCCCAGAAAACTTATTTCTTCCAATATACCCAACTAGAGTAATAAACATGGAAGTAATGTAAATATGCAGAACAGCAATCCACACTTTCACACAGTATTACAAAAAGGGCTAATAAGCTTGAAAATGACTCGAAACATAAACGACCAATTGCTGCTACTCTTTCTGTCTGTATGAATTTACAGGCTAATTATTTGAATCAGTTTCAGTAGAATTATATATACCTGAAAATAAAGGTATTTTCAAAACCTCATTTGAATAACATTGTAAGAAGAAAAAAAACCCAAGTGTATAATAAGTGTACAGTCCCTAAAAAGGACAGATAAATAGCATAATGGGTTTTCATGTCATCTTTTCACTGTTTCTATAATAATAGAGAAATCCAAAATTTCGCAGAATTTAAGGACATGGAAATTTGCATCTCAGAATTAACATCCTATAGCCTATGTCTCCCATGTTTCTCATCCTTTTTCAGACTCCAAGACCTTTTTTCCCTGCACCAAAACCCAAGACTCAAGTCCTGTGCACCTTATCCTGTGCACTCAGTATTTCTGAAACTATTAGCAGTGTGAAAAAAGTCACTGTTCCCAAAACTGTGAGCCCATAAGATGTTTTTGAAGTTGTTTCGTGTCATTGGAGCAAAACAGTAAATAATTTTTATGAGTCTATGACCAAACTCTAAAGTCTTCAGGTGTGACTTTCTCACTTCAAGCTGATATTGGTAGCATAAATATAACAAGAGGTTATAAACTGCTAAATGTGTCATGCTGCCCTCAGTGCCATTTGGAGAACTTTTGTGATGTGAACATATGAAACCATAAAACTGACAGAGAAAACCCTGTTCCCATATGTTTAATTGCAAGTAGTAAAACAATGTAACTATGTGACCTCACCCAAATCATTAGACTAGTGCTCTAAATTTGCAGTATGGGAGTAAGTTATCTGAAAGTTAGGAACAAGTCTAAGTTGATTAAAATTTCAGTCTTCTAGTGCACAGTGAACATTTTAGTTATTCAGACCTACGTGATCAGGAATGCTAAACCTGCAGCCTTTTACTTTATGAAGGTTACACTTCTCTCTTTGCAACATGAATGAATTGGAATCACAGATGTATTCTGTGGGTCTGCCTAGCTTTTCTTGTTCAGAAATGTGAATTCACATGAAGACATAGATACATGCCAAAATTAGAGAAGACAGTGGAGGAAAATGAAATGTCAGATATTGATATATATTATTTAACAGTAGCCACCAGTTGCTGCCATTAATTTTACAAGTGATTTTTCTTAGCAACTGCTTTACATAAAGCCTTTTGTGAGATAAGCTGCTGCAAGCAGCAGAAAGATTTTTGTTTACCTTGCTTTCTATAAGCAGTTAACTCCTCTTGCTGGATTAATTCACTATAGCTGCTCATTAAACTGCAGGCCAAAATATGTCTGATAACGAAGCCATTTTAAGGCATGATGAATACTTAAACAATGGTATCTATTTTATTGTTGACTTAGTAATATTTCTTCCTTATATATTTTTTTTTCTTTTAACTATTGCTTTTTAATATAGCATCTGAAATAATGTGATATGAACCTCTGGAAAACAATAATAATTTTTCATACTTTAATCCCATTTTATAAAAGCTGTAATACATTTACATTTATTCAGACTTCCTAAACTGTATCACTTCTGTTTTCACAGAAAGTGTTGATTATGGGCCAGTGTTTGTACAAGAGCCAGGTGACGTGATTTTTCCAACTGATTCTGAGGAGAAGAAAGTATTTCTGAATTGTCAAGCTCGTGGAAATCCTACTCCCACATACAGGTACTTGTTTTAGAATTATTTTTTGTTAGTTTTCAGAATATTAGCCTCTGCAATCCCACTCTGAGGTTCAATGTGCTTTGGAGAACAACACAACAGAAAATGTTCTGTGACACAAATGGCTTTCCTGATTAAATGCTTCTTCTGATTCTGAATAAGAAAGAAGTGGTAGTGAATAAAAGCAAAGCAGTATGTGAAGTTACAAATTATGTTCTCTGTCATCCTATCTATCCATGTGGAAGGACTCCTTTTGTCCATTTTTTTTTACTTGTGTCTGTAACAACCAACAAGACCAAAATCTTTAATTGATTTTTTTTTCTGAACATCTATAAAGATATGAAATACTGCCCCATTTTATAAGGAGAGCAGTAAAGAACAGGTACATTAAATGACATGACTATGCAATACAGGATACCATGGCTGAGCCAAATCTGGTGTCTTTTCATCCACAAGTCCATCATTTTATTTCTTTGCAACCATTGCCTGTTGCTTAATTTTTCATACAGAGTCTTATTTTGCAGATAGCTACTATATGGATCTGTTATAATGCATCTATGAGTCTGAGAGTTCAGTTTATTAATGATGCCCACTTGCAAGTGGGAACAATATGCAGTCACCTAACCCATTTGCTATATCGGACTCTACTCATATTTTATACAAATTACAAGTGATGTAGGAGGACTGGGGGAGCATATGGTTGAATATTATTTCTCTATACACTTTATCTTTTCTCATACAGTCATTCTTCCCTTATAAAGGGAACATCAGGATTCTTATCAGTATGTTTTGTCATATGTGACAATCATAATTTCTGCATTTTATTTTTTACCTATTAAACCTAATTCATTTGTGGAGTCTTTAGAATTCTGGATGGATTCTCCTTAGACTTACTTGAATCACAGAACTTACATTTCTATAGCTGGAAGAAATTCAGAGGCAGAACTATCTTTAGATACCCTACCATAACAGCACTGAATCTGCCTCTTTTAAACAGATGTGTGTCATTTGGGCGGAGCAATCCCAGGCACAGCTACAGGTTGGGCAGAAAAGAGATTCAGAGGAGTCCTGTGGAGAAGGACCTGGGGGTGTTGGTCAATGAGAAAATGAACATGAGCCAGCAGTGTGCACTCGCAGCCCAGAAAGCCAACCGTATCCTGGGCTGCATCAAAAGGAGTGTGACCAGCAGGTCGAAGGAGGTGATCCTGCCCCTCTACTCTGCTCTCCTGAGACCTCACCTGGAGTACGGTGTGCAGTTCTGGCGTCCTCAACATAAAAAGGACATGGAACTGTTGGAACAAGTCCAGAGAAGGGCCACGAGGATGATCAGGGGACTGGAGCACCTCCTGTATGAAGATAGGCTGAGAAAGTTGGGGCTGTTCAGCCTGGAGAAGAGAAGGCTGCATGGAGACCTCATAGCAGCCTTCCGGTATCTGAAGGGGGCCTACTGGGGTGCTGGGAAGGAAGTCTTCATTAGGGACTGTAGTGATAGGACAAGGGGTAACGGGTTCAAACTTAAACAGGGGAAGTTTAGATTGGATATAAGAAGGAAGTCTTTTACTGTAAGGGTGGTGAGGCACTGGAATGGGTTGCCCAGGGAAATTGTGAATGCTCCATCCCTGGCAGTGTTCAAGGAGGGGTTGGACAAAGCCTTGGTTAACATGGTTTAGTGTGAGGTGTCCCTGCCCATGGCAGGGAGGTTGGAACTAGATGATCATAAGGTCCTTTCCAACCCTAACTATTCTATGATTCTATGATTAAATGGATGTGATTCATGGCACAACTTTCTCAAGCAGTGCAGGCATGACTAAAACATGTAACATGGGATTAGGAATGAGCAATCAGAAATTTTTCAAACTGAAATTACATACACTCCCCACCTTGTAGGATAAAAGCAATGTTGTATTCTTCCTTATTGACATTCCTTGTGAAATTTCTATTATATATTTATTGCTTGTTGAATAAAAAAAAAATCTCTATTATTTCCTCACACTGTCTTATCAGTCCATTAAAAATAATACAACCATGGGGACAAGTCATAAATTCCCACCAAAAGAGGGAAACCTTATGTTCAGCCCTCCCAGACAACCTTATTCTTGTGGAGATTTTCTTTGGAGGGCTTATGTCTTCTCCTTTCTCTCTTGGTCCAACTGGGTTTTTTTTTGCATTTTCCCAATGGAATGCAGTCAACAAATAAAGACTTTCAGTGTATTTTAAAGGGCAGCTACAAAGAGGCTCTCTTTTCACAGGAGGCCACATGGAGAAGGCAAGAGAGGTCTCATCTCAAGAAAGAAATTTTTTTCTGTAAGAACAGTCATTCACTGGAACAACCTCCTCAGGGACTTGACAGAGTCACTGGACATTTTGAAGATGTAATTGAACAAAGTGCTAGATAATCTCATCTAGCCTCCCTTTCCCATGAAATGTTGGCCCAAATGATCTTTTGAGGTCCCTTTCAACCTGGGCTGTTTTATGATTTGGTGATATCCATTCCTTCAGTTCTCCAGAGATCTGATCATTGATGTCAGCTGCCTTACAAACAAAATTTCCTGACTGCTGTTCATGCAAGGAAAGCTTTGACCCAAACGGCCTAATTCTAACAGCACCGTTTAACTTCTCCTCCTTAAGTTGCTGTCACTTGTCTGTGCAGCATATGCAGTACACACTGCCATTCAGAAGAAGGGAAAAGAGAGATAAATTACTTTGTGAGGAATTTACTATTCTCAGGGCAGGTGCAGAGGAAATTTAGCCTCAAAAAAGTCTATAGATAGGCAAAGGTTTGTTATATGTCTCTGCCTAACCTTTGGCACGTGAGATAGTGAAAAGATATCACCCAAGACCCTGTTATCTGCAAGCACAGGACAATAGAGATATTTATTCATATGGGCTGTGAGGTCCATGCTGCTAAGAATTATTTTCAGAAAAAAAAAAAAAAACACAAACCAACCAAAGCACAACTTTTTTTCTTTTAAGCTACATTAAAAGAATGTATAAAGCACTTAAAAATTCCAAACTTAAATTGTCTTTGCCATTGTAATTAATTTCCTTAGTACGTGTAACTTATGAAACCAGTTTATAAATTCTTTTTTTTGCTAGGATATGACATTTTAACAGAGTGGTGAATGGTCACATCATTTAAGATTTTCTTCTTCCTTGGAAACAGTTTTTTTCATCTTGTTCAAGTTCTACTCTAAAATAAAAAAAAAAACATAATTTCTTGAGTTTCATTCATTAAAGTATCAAGATGCATTAATTTAGGGAATAACTCCCTGTAATAAACTGATTCCATTTGCTCAGCATTTCTGCAAATCATACTTTAATATCAGAAGTCAGGAACTGTACAGTGAAGAGCATAACTGAGACCTTTGATGAGGAATACAGACATTCACAAGGTTCCTGTGGGATCTCAGCAGTGTTACTGAGTTAAAGGCAGGCGCAGAATTCCCTGAGATGCTGCTTCACTACACTGCTTTCACTGCCTGTGAAACACCATGTTTCCTATTTTATGTATAATATATACATGTATATATAACACATTCAAGCTGATTAGAATTTTTTGTTAGCATCATTTCCTCATAAAAAAGACAGTTGAAAAATATTTTTAGATTATTTTCTGTCTGCCTAAGCCAAAATGGAGCATTTTGAAATGTTATCTGTCACTTGCCTTCGAGAAAAAATGTAGCTGATTTTCCCTATCATCTTGTTACCTTTTAAGTATTGTATTTGGGATTCTGTCCTCCCAGATCAGTCAGGGTACATAGAAGAAAACATGTCACGCAATTCAGTGTTGCTGTTTCTCTTACATGCTTAGATTATATGCAAGGAATACAATCACCCATGATAGACCCCAAGATACATAGACAGGTAGTCATCAAGATCCAGAGTTTTGGGGTATCATTACAAAAATGTATTTTTACATTCAATTTAACTGAAAATGAAAATACTGAAGAAAGCTAATTAAATTAATTGAATTTTGTGTCAGCTCCTATTTGGAAATGCCAGACTGTAGTTTTTACTTTTTCCTTATCTAAATCTCCCATAATTTTTTGATCAATTTTTGCTTTTTTATTTCGTATTTATTTTTGATTTTGCTTTTTTATTTCATACATATATGTAAAAGTTAAAATTTCTTTGTTTCATTCAAAATCTTAACTCATTAATAAATTGTTCAAGATCAGAAGTTCCTTATATGAATATATGAATCTCTTTAACAATGTAGTAAATCCTACAGACATTTCCCTAATATCCTTTGCGATGTAATGTCAACAGTGTTTCGTTTCTTACATTAAATGAAACAGGGGTCTCCTGTGATTAAAAGTCCAATCATAAAAAAAGGGACAAATAATAGTTTCATAGTTTGTCTTAATTCTGACAATTCACACCTGTGGATTAAGAAAAATTCAGAGCTGCTTTAGCTGAGTTCTTCTGTTTGTACCTCACTCACCATGAATGTTAACAAGGTAGGTTGAACTGATAATCATTTTACTTCATTAAGGTTGCCTCTGGAGTCTAGATGTTGCAAAGTTCTTCCCTTTGCTGAACTCTGGCAAAGTGCCTGTCAATTTCTGGAGGCAGTTTTGAAACTGCAGAATGACTGCAACCTAGCAATGAAGCAAATGCCTGTGTACCACAATAGCTGTGCCGTACCTGTTTACACTGCTTATCTCTTCTTTGCATTCTTTTAACAGCTTCATGTTCTGTACAGTTTGACATGAAAGCCAATCTAAAAAGTCTTCTTAGATGGATTATTATGCTTTATTTGAGATATTGCACCCCTCCCCAAAGGTTATTGCAGAGTACTGGAGTCTATTAACCTACCACACAAAATCTTTTTTCTTGCAGCCAGTGGACTATAGCAGGGTTTGTTATTTCAGTCTTTGGAGATGAATGAGAGGGGTGAGGCTTTTTGGCAGAGACTATCCAGGGGAAAAAATAAAATAAAATAACCAAAACCCCAAATGCACTCACACAGCAGCAAAACTGTGAGACTTAGGTCTCCATTTCTGAAACCTCAGAAAAACAAGTGTTCATACGAGAATTATTCAGTGCTTTGGCTCAGATGTGATACTTTCTAGTATGTTTCTTACAGCCTGGCTTTTTCTACCACATGTTCACTCCCATCACTGTCACTATTGTTTAGGCTTCTCATTTCACTCCCAAACACCTCTCAAACTTAGTATTTCTGCCAACTCTTCATCAGATCTTAGTGTCCATTTACCTGGTAGTTGCCAGGCATTACCCTTGACCAACCACCAGCAAATTCCAGTCTCGCATGTCCCAGTCTTCTCTGAATTTTGTGTATGCTTATTCCATCTGATATTATTTTGCCTTTGTCCATTGCCAATTTCCTTTGTTTCACAGCAGCCTGTGTACATAAATATACCTCCCTGCTCTTCATAGTCCTTGTTCTTCTGTCTGTATTTAAATCAGTTTTTTTCCTTTCTTGAGCCTAGAAGAGCAAATGCTGGAAGACTGGAAAAGAAGCGTTCTTTGCCTTCATACAGCGCAGTATAGTGTAGACAGTTCTGTTAACTGTAACCTCATCTGAACCTAAGGCTTTAATGTTAGAATATGCATTGAAACATTCATTATCATAAGCACATATTTTTGACATGAAGGATGCATTTCACAGAATCACAGAATCCTAAGGGTTGGAAGGGACCTCAAAAGATCATCTAGTCCAACCCTCCTGCAAGAGCAGGGTAACCTAGAGTACATCACACAGGAACTTGTCCAGGCGGGCCTTGAATATCTCCAACGTAGGAGACTCCACAACCCCCCTGGGCAACCTGTTCCAGTGATCTGTCACTCTCACAGTAAAGAAATTTTTCCTGATGTTCACATGGAACCACCTATGCTCCAGTTTACACCCATTGCCCCTTGTCCTATCACTGGACATCACTGAAAAAAACCTAGCTCCATCATCCTGACACTCACCCTTTACATATTTGTAAACATTGATGAGGTCACCCCTCATTCTCCTCTTCTCCAAGCTAAAGAGTCCCAGCTCCCTCAGCCTCTCCTCATAAGAGAGATGTTCCATTCCCTTAATCATCTTTGTAGCTCTGCTCTGGACTCTTTCAAGCAATTTGCTATGTGGGTTTCAAGTCTGAAGCCTTTGTGGATGATAGCATTTTCAGGAGGGCAGGGAAAGAAAAAGAAGAGGTTACTAATTTGATTCGGCACAGGCAAAACAAGGTATACACTTTCTTTTCAGGGCCAGAAGGTCCATTTTTACTTGTGGATTGTTTTTTTTTTTCAGAAAAACCTTTGTCAGGCATATTTTGTGGAAAGTTTCCATCCAAAGCTCTGCCAAAGAAATGGGTTCCTTCCCAGGATATCTTTAAGCAGCTGTCATCCTTATAACAACTGGGGCTGTCAGGTTTTGTCTACTAAGCTGAATGCCTTCCTTTGGCCATAAATTACTTAAGTAATTTCTCTCTTTTTTCCTAAGATGGCTTCGAAATGGAACTGAAATTGACATTGAAAGTGATTATCGCTACAGTTTAATAGAAGGAAGTCTGATGATCAATAACCCCAGTGAAATGAAGGATTCTGGACAGTATCAGTGTTTAACCACCAACATGTTTGGCAGTATTTTAAGCAGAGAAGCTGTTCTACAGTTTGCATGTGAGTAACGATTTTTTTTTTTTTAACATGAATAAATCAGATCTTTACATTGCTTGATAAGGGCCTAAATTGTAATTTAAATACATTACAGAAGTTACACTGTCCACTGACTTTGTTGGGCTAGGATATCTAAATTAGAAATAAAATTCTTAGTGGGAAAGAGTGCTGTTCTGTGTCCTTCTTACTTTTAAAATAGAACAGTATCAGGGAAAATAACTGTAATAGATGATCCCAAATGTTATCCTTTGATGAGGAACACTCTGCTAAGATATCTTTCACTCATTTCCTGAAATGTTTATCATTTTGCCACACTGTCTGAGCAGGAGAAAGAACTGTAAACTTAAGAGTGGGATAAACTGCATCTGTTTCTGTAGGAGAGTCTGCAACTTTAACTACGAGCGTAGTTTTGTATGTATATATGTATATAAATGTGCACGTTTTATGACCATGTTTATGCAGACATATCATGCATACATTTCATTATGAGACTGAGATTTATTTTTTTTTAGTTAATGGAAACTAGACATGTCATATCAATGCCTTTAAAATAATTTACCACAGCATACCTTACAGAAGCTATCGACAATTCATGATCCCAAGTAAATGGTATGGTCTATCTCTAGCATGCTCTTTTTCAAACATATTATAAAGAAAAACTTGCCAGAATATCAGATATTCTACTTCTAACCCTGACTTACTTCCAGCACTTTACAAGAAGGGAGGTAATACAATTTTAGTGCTTTATGTAGGCAAAACCCACCATGAGGTGTTTTGGAGAGATGCAAAATAAACTCCATCCTAATTTCTTAATTCCTGGTGAAAATAGGACATTACCAAGAAAAATGAGGCAGATCTTCATATAATTACAACTGGAAAACAGTGGGGTTAAGGAAAAGTTGCCTACCTGCATGTCTACTAACACACATGATGGCATGGATAATTCAGCAGAGATAGTGTGGGGTCTGAGATTCTCCACTAATCTACACCTTCCCACTAAAGTCAGACCTCTCAAAGCTATAGCTTTAGTGTTATCTGATGCAGATCCTGTCAAGATATTTGTTAGCAAGAACATGGAACTAACCACCCACTTCTGAGCTGGGAGCACTACTGACATTTATCTAAGTTTCTTCATGCCAGGGTAGTATATTTAAAACCTCTAACATCACAACAGTGGTCTCATCACAGCATTATGGAACCTCAGCCTTAGTTGTAGCTCTGAGAAAATTCTGCTACATATTATCTTTTAGACAAGAAAACAATGGTAAAACAAGTCACTTGTTTAGAGGACCTGACAAGTGGTAGATATAGATAGTTCCAGGGCTCTGAGTCTCAGATTTCTGTTCCCATTTCAGGATGGCTAACAGGTGGCCATTTGACCTTCAGCTGAAAAAATAAAAAAAAACAGAGAAAGTAAGAGCTTGAGTTCAAACAACCGAAGGTTTATTAGTTTCAGTAGCACACACTAGATCATGTCGCCCAAGGGTCTGTCCAGCCAGGGATGGAGCAATTACCACTTCTTTGAGCAACCTGTTCCAGTGCCTCACTACCCTCACAGTAAAGAACTTATTCCTCATGTCTAACCTGAACTTCCCCTGTTTAAGTTTGAACCCGTTACCCCTTGTCCTATTGCTACAGTCCCTGATGAAGCAGAGTTTGTTTTTATTGGATTTTTAAATTATTGTTAGCCTGCACAGCTGCTTTTGCAGGTATCAAAGTTGTAACTTTATAACGGCTTGAATGTCATTTCTCTTCATTAAAGTATTTACTTGGAAACTGTAATGAAAGTTTCTCAGAAGGTTAATGGATGAATGCTAGCTGGAAATGCTGAGGTGTTGCTAACAATGCCACAGAACTTGTGAGAAGAGACGCTTGTACCACAGAAATGTTTTAGTAAGCCAGATCCAAAGTAAATTTAAAATAAAGATTTTCATTGTGATTTCAGCTGTGAGTTTGACATTGAGTTTGACCAGAAAGTTCAGATAAATTTTCTTGAAGAAAAGAATGTAATACCTTCATCCTGTTATCTTGGGTGATATAAAGTTTATGCTGGTTCCCAAAGTGCTAATACTGTTTTATTTCCTTTAGGAAACTAAAATGTGCTTTTCTGATTCTTAAAGGGAATATTTACAGCATGAAAGATGTTTTTATGATTTAAAACATAATGGTTTTGATACCACTTCTTATCTAGGAAAACTAGATGTGTGTAATCACAATCTTTCTGAAATAAATGAGGAAATTTTCCATATTAAGATATTTTAACATATATACACATGCACATATACATACATCTCATTTATTAATAACTCTTTTCTCTTTTTCTTGCATTGAAATTCATTAATTAACTGAAATCAACCTTGGATGAGGCAGTATACAATTAAATGGTCTTTAGATCAGTCTACATTTATTCAGTAATTAGCATTGAGCTCTAAAGCATTATGTAGATAGGTAGAGATGCACTAGACAAAAATTAGCTTACATTACCCTGAAATATAATAAATTTTTAAATGTCATGGCTGTGAAAAAATACTGCAAGGTAAAACTTCAGTATAGCTCAAGTAGGGCATTTTATAGCATTCATACAATCATTGAATCTTAGAATCAAATAATGTTTTTGGTTAGAAGGGATATTAAAGATCATCTAGTTCCAAACCTCTGCCATGGGCAGGGACACCTTCCACTTGACCAGGTTGCTCAGGGCCCTGTCCTACCTGGCCCTGAACACTGCCAGGGATGGGGCAGCCACAGCTTCTCTGGGCAACCTGTGCCAGTGTCTCACCACCCTCATAGTGAAGTATTGCTTTTCAACAGCAGGCTTGCATGTTAATATGTTTCCAGTTATTTTCACTAAGACAGAAAGTAAAGCACTGAAAAATATTTTTGTAAGGAAAGCTCCTAACCTTAAAGTAATTAAAGCATTTGGTGCCCTGCAATTTTGCTGGGCTCTGATGGCTTGAAGGGTAACTTATAATCCCAAGGATAAACCAAGGCATTTCTGATTCTGAGAACAAAGCTATGCATAATAGCAGTTTCCCTTTTTTCACTGAAAGCCACAGATTCCAGAAACTAAGAAACTTACTACTTTCACAGAAAAATTAAAAAAAATTAAGCTCCTGGACCTGCTTGAATGCTCTTTACTGCTGTGGAAAATAGCTACATCTTTACAGCTCAAAGAATTGTTCTTCTAATTAAAGAGAGAAATGCCATACAGCAAGAAAGGAAACAAGAGGGACCATTAAACAAGGCCTTTGACAGTCTTACAGGAAAAACATGTGCCATAATGTGCCTATGCAAAATATCACAAAACTTGAAAAAGAAGAAGGTTTCTTGCACTGGCTCTTAGTTTTTGCACAATTGCATGGCCAAAAGTCCAGTTGCTATGGCCATTATCATGCAGTTGAGCACTGATGGTGCATTACGAGTATAAATGTTTGTGCATTACAGTATTTGAATGTGTGCATAATTAAAATAGAACTTTGAAATACTTATACAATGTATTTGAAAGAGATAGAAAATGAAATTCTTTTATACATGACTGGAGATATAACTTTTGAAATAGCCTCCGGTGTCACTGGTTATTTTTATGGAGCAAAGTGGAAAGCCCAGCTATATGCACTCTCAATGGAATTTAAAACTATTATAGCACATATTTATGAAGATTTAAACTAAAAAAAAGTTCTCTTTTTTTTTCTCTTCTTTGCACTGCCCAAGGTAGTGCTTTTTAATGCTATTTTAATAAAGGGGGAAAGAGAAATTAAAACCCCATGATATAACAGAAGTTGAGGAGAAATATGTTTTCCAATAAAAGCACCTATTGGCCAGGAATTCCTTTTGTCTTGAATAGAATTTTATGCAGAAAAATTGGGAATAAAATGCCCAGAGTTAACACTGACAAAATGTCAAGCAAATCAGAATTACTTATTCTTACTTCCTTTGCCACTTTTCCCTGATGAGAATAATTACATAGAACCATAGAATGCTTTGGGTTGGAATTGACCTTAAAGATCATCTAGTTTCAACCCCCTGCCATGGGCAAGGACACCTACCCTGGACACTAGATAAGGTTGCTCAAAGCCCCAATTCTTTACTACAAAAATCATATGTTTAAAGTCACATTTCACACATTTGGACTTAACAGGCTGTTGTAAAGATAAAAAGCTATCAGTTTGGTAGTTTCAAATGTGATTTACACTTCACAAACAAGTAATAGTTCATATGCAAAGAATATTTTCTTAAGATTCTAATCAGCTCATTAAAATGTGAGAACATTAGAGAGATAATTACTGAATTCCTTTAGCCCATCTTAACATTAATGAATTTTGTATTTCTGGGTGTGGCTATCTCTATGGAAGAGTTCTTCAAATCCCAAACACCTCTTTAAAGATTCTGCAGTTAATGGAAATAGAAAATAGAAACATAGTTCTTCTAGCTTAACCTTTTACTGCATTATGAAAAAAATGTGCATATATGAAGGGAAGAGCAGCAGCCAAATAAAAAAACAATAGTAAACTTATAGTTGCTGCAAGCAAAAACCCAACTTCGTTCAACATCTAGTAATTTTATAGAAGTGCATAACATCAAAAATGTTTTGAGGGTACAAAACTTAATAACAAAGTGTAAGAGTTTTATGAAGTAGCTTAGGTATTAAGTACACATACCTTGTTACATTGTTTTAGTTTGGTTTCTCATTTCCTCTCATTCCTGCTAGAAATTTGGGTAAGCTAAAAGGAGAATTTCAAAATTAAACTTTAATATTAATTTCTCAGTGTTTGCTACTTCGGCATCTGTACGTGAGCTAAAAAAGGATAAGTGACTTGAACATGGGAGACTGGAAAAAGTACGGTTTACAAACTGACTGAATCTACCTGCCTGCATATTATTGTTCTGGGTTCCACAGCCTAGCTTTGGAGCAGTGTGGTACAACTTTGGCTACAACACTGGATGTATTTTGTGCTTACCTTTGCCACATGTCCAAAGTCTGTATTCCATTAGGACACAAAACA